GTAGATGGGGCAGGAGGATCACAAGCTTGAGCCCAGGAGGAGCAACTTAATGACTTAGTGGGAAAATACTGGGGGTGTAAGTCATGCAAAGACTATGGGGATTAATCACCATTGCCAACAAACAAAAACCAAAAATGAAATGATAAATAGTCCAGGTGATGAAATATTAAATGCTCTAAGATAATTACTACTCCATGTATAAATAAATCAAAACATATTCTATTTCATAAATACATATAGATATTATGTCACTCAGAAACAAGATACTTGCAACTACATATTCTGTGAATCTACCTTAAAATAAATAAAACATCCTACCAATGACTTAAGTAATAAAATGTTCAAGCAGGATGATTTGTAATGGATGGCAAGTTTTAAGTAGCCAGTCTATTCAACAGAAATGAGCTGATTTAAAAAGATATTATTTTTTAAAATAATACTATTGGAACATATTTAATTCCAAAGGGGTATTTTATCATATAATCATAAGTGAAAACAGAAATATACAATTGCATATGCAATTTAATCTTATTTTTAATATACAAGTAGAAAAATGTTAAAAGTAAATGTGTTGAAAAATATTTTAGTTGTAAGCCCCCAGGCATTTATTCTTTCACTTTTAATCTGTGGTCGATTGCTTTTCAGTTAGTTCCAATTTAGTTTTTTTTTTTTTTGCTGTAGTTTGATTACTAAGTGGGAATCTTACAACTGACCTCTTCATAACATTAGGGTGTTTTATTGAAATGTCACTATCTCTACCCTAAAGCACTCATTACATTTTATCTCTAAAGACTTCATCCATCTAATTGGTGCAGTTTTTAAAATTAATTGATTTTTATAAATAAGTAAATATTATAAGTGAACAATATTTGTTAAACACAAAATGATAAAACTTACAAAGTTCAAACTTACCTACAATCAAGAGAATGAAGAGTTGCATAATCCTCAAAAGTTTTGTCATCATTTGTAATCTCTTGTTCTCAACCTTCACTTCTGTCCCACCACCAGATGAACCATAGATGAGTTTGCATTTTCTATAATTTACATAGGTAGAGTCATCTAGTATGTACTTTTTCTCTTCTATTGACTTACTTGTTTGCCTTGTCACTACTACTACACTGTCTTACTATACTTTTATACTAAATCAATTATTTATTGGATATCATTAGATTCAACTACTAATATTTTGTTGAGGTTATTTTAAAATGTTGTGAACCAAAATCAACTAGCTAAAAATAGATATAGATAAATAGATGAAGGTATCAACAAAATCAGGCATCTGGAAATATTTCTGAAACCCACCACTAAGCAACTATGTAAATTCATAGATGAAGAGAGAATTTTATCCATCAGATGAAATGTTTATGACTCTGTTTTAGAGACTATGAGCTTTTAGATACTGTACTGAAAGTGTAGTGGAAGCAAGAACATCATAAATGAATATTCATCAAAGTTAAGAGCTGATCTTTGAAAGACACTGTAAAGAGCAATAAAACGTAAATCTGATTGTAAGATAAAATAGTTGCAAATCATGAATGAAATAAAAACATATAAAGGTACAGATCATATAAAGAATTCTCAAAACTGAAATATCTATTAGGGAACCATTAAAAAGGGAATGAAAAACTATCAAATGCTACAGTTGAGTGAAACTTACAGACATGAAATATTAATGTAAAATAATTCATATACTTTTTGCTTACTGAATAATTCACTTGCCACTGATCTGTTTTGTATGACTGATTCAAAGTCTCATCTTCTATCAAGGTACACTAGAATCGGCAAGTCATTGCATTGGGATACTTTTTAATAATTCAGGTAAATATCCAGGATCTGTCTATGCATGCTGCCAGAGTGCATCAGATGATAAATTCATCAGTTTATAAATTCTGTCCTGAGTTTCCAAGGAGTTTGATTTCCCCCAGCATAGTAAAAACTCTTTGAGCAGTTACTTGAAACCTTGTGAAATACTTCCTTTTTTTTGTGAAATCTTGCAGTGTATTTATCTAATAATTTTCCTTTTTTGCTAGTATTGTGAAGTGCCTTTAAGTTTCCCCCAGCAGTGTGAATGACCTCATTATCAAATGTGAGCATGGTATCTTTTCACTCTGGTTCTTGTGCTTACCAGGCAGGGGCTTAGACCACTGAGCTATCTCCCCAGCCCACAGATAGGAATATTAATGAGGTTTACAAGTTATTTTGTCTGTATAAAATTGGAGAACATGTTTAAAGTGTTAGGGTAGTCCCAAGAATAATTCATTCGTATTACTGGAAAATCCTGAACTAGGAATGAGAAGACTTAAGTTTTAATCAGGCTTATATCTCTTTCACTGTTGATGATTCTTGAATTTGGTTTTATCATTTGTAGAGCTGGGACCATAAACCCTATTATACCTACCTCAATTACATTGTTGGGTGGAATGAAAACATCTGTATGAAAGTTCTTTGGATGTAGTGACCAGGCAAAAATAATTGTATGGGGAAGACAAGACTGCACCTAGTAATCAGTTTATGTATTTGCTATGTAAAAGTAAGCACAAAAATAAAAATGAATTGAACAACATTTATTGAGTGCTTACTTTATACATGTCTTGACTCCATCTGTGGTAGGTACTATTACACCATTTTGCAAATAAGAAAGTTGAGACAGAGAGATGCCTAATATTTTATCTCCAATGATAAGGCAAAACTAGGTTTTGATTAAATTTTGAGCTCCAGAGTTTATGCTGTTAACCATTATGCTATGTTGTTATTGTTAGGATGACTCTAGATTTGTAGCAAAGAGAAAAGTAACAGTTAAAATGTTGTGCAAGAGAATGTGATGTACTGACTAATATTCTATTGGATTCTTTGCCATTCTCACTGTATTGTCTGTGCCTTCTTATATGACTGTGCTGAAATTCATTCTCATTTTACCTCATATTTCTTGCTTACGTCCTGTGCCAATCAGTTTTCAGTTAGCAAAACAAAGTTGAACATTGTCAGAACATGAGGAATCTCTGGTGGGATTAAACAGGAAATGAAAGTGCTCACTGGCCAGTAGAAGAAGGGAAGGAAGCCCTGGAAATGAGAGCAGTAGATGTGCCAGAGATACTCAGGCCAGCAAGGAAGGAGGGATTTGGACTGGAGCTCACAAACTCTGCTGTCAGTAGGAGCTGAACTCAGGTTTGTGTGATGAGACAGCGAAACAGCAAGAATTATTTCCCCACCAGACTGAAACTTAGGAAAAAAACAGAATTTGTTAATAAAGACAGCCTCTGGACCCTTCCGGGTTACAGATCTTAAATGTCCAGTCAGTGTGGGAACATGTTTCCCCATCCTTACAGATCAGAAACCTGCCTGGTCTCATTCTTAGTTTCATCTTTGCTTAAATACCTTCTTGGTTTCCATGGCAACCGATGGACCACCAAGATTGACTCATGAAGTGGCAGTATTGTTCTTTGTAATTAGTTCTGGCTTTCTCTTATTTCTTTTATGTTTACAACATCTTAACATGGGTGGGGAAGGATTGAAGGAGTGACAACATTTTAACAAGGGTACATTCAAGGCTAAACTAGAGTTTCTTTTGCTAAAACCAAATTAACCCAACTGAAAGCGCCAGCACCCCCTATAGCTGGATTCACTGAAACTCAGATGGTGATATAAAGACACTGAAGCAAAAAGAAAAGCTGGGAGAGATACACGTATTTTCACCCTGCTCCCTGCCTTCCACTTTCTCTACAAGTATTTTGCTCCAAACTAGCTCCACATCAGCTGTCACAGGAATCTGACCAAAGGTTTAGTCATATTCCCACTTTGAGTTATAGCAAAAGATGGTGTCTTGGTTACTTTTCCATCTTTGCTGAGACAAAATACCCCAACACCTCGAATTAAAGAAGGAAAGATTTATTTATTTAGCTCACAGTTTGTGGAGGTTTCAGTCTGTAATCTGCGGGCTTCAAGGAGGGGGGCTGGCATGGCACAGGGGCGACACTTTGAGGTATCAGAAGACAGCAAAAGCAGCCAGAGCAAAAAGAGGGGAGAATGAGCCTCCTTTCCTCCTTTACATTGTAAGCAGGCTATCCCATGCCCCAGGGCAGGTGCAGCCCTCACACCATCTTCATCTCCATGAGCTCCTCTTTTTTTTTATTCATTTATTACTATTTTTTAATGTATTTAGTACAGGGTCTACAGAGTATCACTACCCAGATTGGACTCATACTGATCCTCTTGTTTTCAGGCTCCCAAGCGCTGGGATTATAGGCACGTGCCACCAGGCCCAGTCTCAGTCACCAACTCAGCATGCCCCAGGGTCTGCCTAAGCAGGTGCTTTAGTCCACTGAGCTGTCTGGCCCGGCCCCATATGCCCTCCTCTTGCACAGCATGAAGATGTTTACAAAGTAGGACCCTGGCATGCTACTGAGTTGTTTAAAACTTCTAACTTCTCAAGTTGACACAATGTATCAACCATTACAGATGGATAAGTAAAAAAGACTGGCACATTTCTCTGCTATTTTCTTCATTTTCATTCTTCTTGGCAACCCATCTTCATTAGATTTCTGTCATTAGAAAATGAGTTATTATGACAATATTAGGTTGTTTAATGACACTGCATTGTTTTGAAATTTGAACAATATGTTCTTTTTTCTGAAATTCTTGAGGTTCCAAAGATAAGTATGATCCCTGGGACATAGGCAAGTTTGTTTTTTTAAAAAAATATTTATGGTAAGATGACGCTTAAAATGTTAGTGGTTCATCTATAATGAATTTGCCAAGCAGCCCCACTTCTTTTAATTTAATTTTTTTCTCACGATTTTTGCTAAGTACGGGAAGTAGAATCTTTTATTTCCTGCAATTATCTGCCTCCATTCTTCATATTTTCCTGATTCTAAAATTCTGAAGTTTCCCTTGTTGAAGTCACATTCCAAATAAAAGTTAATTTATTAATTATTCTCTATCTTGAACATGCTGAAGCTTATAGAATGCATAAAAAAGAAGTTAGCAATCATTCTGCATAGCAGCTCATGCTGATTAGGGATTATTTTCCCTCATTTGCTGTTACCTGCAGTTCACTGCAGTCTGAAAATATTAAATGAATAATTCCAGAAGTAAATAATTCATAACCTTTAAACGACACGAGTGACATAATGAAATTGTGTGCTCTTCTGCTCCTTCCCGTCCAAACACGAATCACGCCCTCGTCCAGCACGTCTGTGCTGTCTGCCTGCCCATTAGTCACTGTGTAGCCGTCTTGGTCATCAGAACAGCTGCTGTCACACTGCAGGTCTGTGGTCAGGTAGCCCAAGCTACTTACTAATGCCCCAAAGCACAAGAGCAGTGATGCTGGCAGTAAGGACATGTCAAAAAGAAGCTGCAAGGAACTTCCTTGGGGGAAAACGTGAATGTTTTTGACTTAATGAGGAAATAAGGAACGACAATCATGTGCTAGAAGCTTGATCAGGTCAACAATACAGTAAGATATTTTGAATGTGAGACCACAGGTACATAACTTATATTGCAATAGATTGTTATAACATCACCATTTTGTTATGACTAATTTTAAAAAATCTTTGTTTGTCACAGGGTCTTACTACTCAGCTCAGATTCGTAGTGATCCTTCTGTCTCAGGCTCTCCAGTGGTGGGATTATAGGCGTTCACCACCAAGCCCATTTTCAGGGCCAGCATAGTGGGCCTGGGGTTCTGGGGATGGCATGGCATGTGGTACCAGAAATCGAGCCTGGGTCCTTGCACTTGCCAGACAAGGGGTTAGACTGCTGAGCTATCTCCCCAACCCTATTACTAATTTCTGATAGCTTCTCACATGCCTAATTTATAAATTAAAGTTAAATTTATTGTGGGTAAAATTAAATTTATTGTGGGTGTGGACTCAGTTTGTTCTAAAGCATATATTGATGGTCATGAAACATCCCCTATGGATAAAGGGGACTTCTATACTTTTCATGTATATTTATTGATAAAATATATAGACAGGTTTTATATGTGTGGCTAATTATATATAAATGCAATTGTCTTTCCGTGTAGATCTATATATAAAGTAATACATGTATGATAGTATTGTACATATCATATATGGAATTTATAGCATAAATATTCTATATTTTCCTGCCTCATTGAATGCTACTTTATTTTTTATTTTTTTTAGGGAAGGGTCTGCAGGGTGTTCAGGGTCTCACTACTAGATTGGACTCATAGTAGTTCTCCTGTTTACAGCCTCCCAAGTGCTGGGATTATAGGCACGTGCCACCATGCCCAGTCTCAATTGCCATCGCAGCACACCTCAGGGGCAGGGCCAGCATAGCAGGCCCGGGGATCAAACCTCTGGCACCTGTGCCTGCTTGCAG